CCTGGAGGGAGTCATGTTTAGTTTAACGCTAACCAGCCAAAAGGCAGAAGTTAAAGCCTTAAGACACATCTTCTCATCTGCATATGATACAAAAATGCATAAGGCATAAAGACAGGGGACAGTAATTTTTTAAAATATATGGAAACAAAAAGAGTTTCCAGGTGGGTGGGGAGGATTAATAATAATTAATTAAAGAGAGACAAATGTGATTTAACGAAAAAAAAAAAAAACAAAAAAACTGAAATCATATTAAAAAATATAATTTGTTAGAACTAAGCCAAGAAAGAAAACGTAAATATGAATGTCATATTATAAAATATGAGATAAAGTTCTGTATTTTAAAATTAATTTGTATATTTTAAATGCATAAATGCATTGCGCCATTTATATAATTCTGCTTTTATTTTTCATTATGCCAGTCCCAGTCTCCATATCTCCATAGAGATCGGGCAGCGCACGCGAAGGTGCAAAAAAAACACACACAAAAAAACGTTTTCTGATTGGCTTTAGGAAATTGATGCACAACTACATCAAGATGGACTCCTTGCAGTATGACCGGAAGCTTATCCTTCAAAGTAATTTATCTGTGTATATGTCTTAAGTGCCAAAATGAGAAAGAAATTACCCAAAAGTAATTGCAGAAGATTATTAATATTGCAATTACAGAAAATAATACGTACAGTATTATTGAAGCCTTGGAATTACAATATGATTGTATTGTATAATACGAACAGTGGTAAAGTTACTTGTGTTTTAAATGCAATTTTTCCAGTAAACGGAAACTGAGCGTTGCATTATGTCTAGCTTCACTGCTGGTCCTCAGAAAGAGGAAAGGATGTGATACGAGCCTCAGTCGCATGCCCCATCGGCCCAGAAGCGACGCTGTTTGTGTTCCGTTCTACTTTTTATATGTAAATTAGCGCGAGCCTCCTCTCCTCAAGCCCTTTTCCTAACCAGAGGAGAATGATCCACCGGCAGATTCTGTTATCCCAGGTAGGCTGTCTCCATTGTTGCTGTGTAATGTTGATGCTGTAGCATCAGTCAGCCTATCATGTCTCGGCGTTCAGCAGCAGCGGCCCTGCTCTCCGTTATCCGCATAGAGACACTCTGTGCTGTGCGAAGGATGCTTTGTATCCTGTCGCTATTAGGATATGCAACAGGACATTCTTCTATAGCAACATGTTTGACATATAGACAATTTATCACAAAACGACAAGCAAACCAAATTATATATCATAATCAGACTACTTATCACAAGTCAAATATGGTTTTCCTGATGCTTATGGTTCAGCATTATACATTAGTTCGCATTATATCAAACCGCACAATGTAAATGAAGTCGTTAGATCTAATACCAGTCTTCTAGGGTGTGAGGATGGTTTTCCTGATGCTTATGGTTCCGCATTATACATTAGTTCGCGTTATATCAAACCGCACAATGTAAATGAAGTCATTAGATCTAATACCAGTCTTCTAGGGTGTGAGGCTGAGAACATACGAAGTCATGCTGTATGTGGAATGTTCAGATGTGGCTGAACGCAGGCGCACAGCTCAGTTCAGGTCGTGCATGGCGTCATGTTTTTCACACTGGAGATGCTGCCCTAGTTTCTCCTGATTTGAGGCTTACCGGGAGTCTGGGGAGAGGCTTCCCCTTCCCTCTTTGTGTGGGGATTCCCATTTTTAAAATCCTGCGCTATAGTTTCTCAACAGCAATAGTTTCTTCACTGTGCCCTGATACATTGTTAGTCGTAATTAGTGTCATATTTATGCATTACATTTCAACATGTGAAGCTTTTGTTAATGTGGAAAGTACATTTCTTTTAGTTCTACGTCTGTTTTTCATATCAGGCCATATTAAAGAAGATCTGAATTTTTAACCAGTTCTAAAATAATTTCAATTTAACCTTAAGAGTACAGAAACATACACCAGAGTCCATACTGTTACTATTGTTGAAACAAACACAAAGCCAAAGGGAAAAAGCCATATGTGAAAAGTAAGTCCACTATGTGAACTTTAACATTAAAAGTAGGTGCTGTTAATTAAATACACTTTTAATAAATAGTTTTTTAACCCTGCCTTGACTAAATTCTAAAATTAATAAGCTAATGAAAATGCAAGACATAGATAAAGAAATTAAGATCTTGACTTACCAATGATATACTAACCTACAAAAGTCTAAGAATAACGTGTTACAACAAATGAGTGAAGCAGAAGTAACTTAAAGTATTGAAAATGCAAAGGGCAACAATGCTTTACTTTGGAAGCAATTTAATAAAACACAACTATATTAAGAGGCATTGGGAAACTTTCCATACATGGCATACATATTACAAATAGTGCTGTCATGGCAAATGAATTTAATTTCTTATTTTTTATGGTCAGTTGAAGAACTAGGCAGAGATGGTACATCACCTGAACATATTAATTATCCTGATCAGAAGGCACCTGTAATCTATTTTTTCAATTAAACCGATTGAAGAGACAAATGTTATGCAAATAATCACAAATTTGTCTAACTTGAACTCGAATTATACCTATCATCTGAATTGCATCTTTCTACACAAGTATATTAATGTTCTAAACAATTGACACATCTTGTTAGTTTGTCCATTAGTACTTCTAAATTGTCCTCAGGATGTACATAATGTTTTGTACCAATAATTCAAGAAGGAAGACAGGAAGACAGTTACCGGCCCACATCACCTCTGCCTACATTACCAAAAGTTATTGAGAAAACATTTGGTACACAGTTGACTGATCATTTGTAAGCCAATCAGCTAATTTCATAATCAATAAAATCTCTAAAACAATAAAAAGAAAACAAAGTTGTTTTAAATTAGACCTTACACAATACATGCCAAAACAGGCTGCCCCATGTTATGTTACTTTCTCACATATCATAATTACAACATGACAACATGAGCTCAGACCTTAGCCACAAAGTACTTGGCTTCACCGTAAAATCAAACAATAAAGGTTGTAGCCAAAAAGCCAGCCACATTCTTTGGAAACATAAATTGCTAATCTTTGATAGCTTTAGCAATTTATATATTTAATTGTTTACACACATTTATTAAGCAAAAAAAACAAAATGCTATGAAGCTGTAAAGCTCCACTCTGCAGCACTTTGCTTTATCAGTCTGATTTTTCATTCAATTTTTTGCAGAATTTTGTAAAAGTTTTTGCATACTATCTCAAGACAATATCTGAATTTAAAATATTCAGCTGTATACATACTAATTTGTAAGTTGCACTGAGTTGTTTATATTTATTTTCAGTATATTACTAGTGTGTGATGCTCTATGTTTACACATATACATGCATATAATAGGACTGTAAGTTAGCTTTAGCTATAAACTCTTTTTGCACATCCTGCAGACTGTTTTATGTGTTTGCCTGCATTTTTCTGTCAAATACATAAAGTCAAACAAATAAAAAATCATGACTTGTGACCATCAAAGCAGAAGATCTTGCAGTTTACTAAGATGGGACATATATATTTCTATAAATGCAATGCTTGACAAAGACATCAGCAAAATTGTTGCACAACAGTCTGGGAAGAATAACAAGGCCATTTCCTGACCTCAAAGTCCTTCAATCTGCAGGCGGGTGACATTATTTTCAGAACAGTCACCAAAAGCATTTGCCAATCTTCCCAGTACTGGATGTTTCAGAAAATCCACGATAAGACCAGAGTTTACATTTCTTACAGAGAAACTGGAACAAGTAGACGTGTGCTTCTTGCAGTCACTGAGACAGCCAGCTTGTTTGTACACCAAATGTGGGGACATATTTTTGACAGATTAAACTTCATGTAGACTATGTCCTGAAAAAAATCGAAAAAAAATTACAAACAAAACAGGAGATTCACAAAAGAATGGCTTAAATAGGAAAGAATGCCCCAGTCAAAGTTGAGTCCCTAAATTGAGTGAAATGTTTAGGTGGGACCAATACTAGAAAACATCAGTGAAATGAAACAGTGTTGGAAAGAAGAAAAAAATCAAAGTTCTTCCATAATGAAATGAGAGCCACATAAAATTAGACTAAAATGAACTTAAGAAGTAGATGCAGACTCAATCGACGTCAACATGAAAACCTCCAACCAGATGGTCTATGGTGCTTTGCTGTTATTCAGATAACTGTTGTGAAACAAAGTGCAGAACCCAGTATATAGAACTGGCTGCTGAAGCAGTTTGTGGACTGGCGAGTAACTATTTTCACAACTTTAGAGCTGGATTGGGCCATACCACCAGCATTTTTGGCAAAGTTGTTTGGTGGTGTTGGTTTGAACTTATGGCAGAAGAATATGTTGGAGTGAATGTAAAAATGTGTTTAAAAGACAAGTCGGAGGCTAAATATATTTGAAAAGAATAACAGTAAATGACTAGTAATGGAAAAGACAGGAGGTAAAGTATATGCAGAAAGGCAATGTGTTGAAGACAGCAGCTGTCTAGCCCCTAAATTATCTACCTAAAAAAAAGTTAAATTATTGGAATAAATAATTTAAAAGTCGATGTTTATAAAGTGCAGCACCTAGTGGAACAGGAGACTAACGTGAAGAGTGAGACTGTCGGAATCTCAGAGGCCATGTAGAAAAGGTTTGCCAGTGTTTTAAGTTTTTCAAATGCCATCTTAGTTCCAAGATGATTTGAAGATATCTATTGTACTTAGAAATAAGTATTATGACCTTTTAGGAAATAAATCAAACATAGCGCTGTTCTCAGAGCAGATGTACTCCTAATAATTGTTTTTTGCAGGAACACGTGAACTCTCATCAACGTGCATGAAACCATATGTTTGATGCTTTAAGTTTTAAGCAGATGTTTTATTGTAAATGTAAGTTGCTGTCTCTTTGTTTCTGTCTTTGTCTCTTTGTTGTTCTACTTGACCACCTGTGTTTCCACTCATTTTTGGTAATTCATATTTTCATCTGAACCAGATAAAATCTGAAATGTTTATGACAGGGTTGTTTCATCTTTGCTCCAACATGAGGAACCACAGGTGTCTCATGCTTAACTCTCACCTTCTGCTGCCACTGCTTTGTGTTCCTGTGTTTTGTAACACACTGCCCTTCTCCTCCCGCTTCCCTTTAGGTTTTGGTCTGCTTTGGGTTACTTGGTCGTTATGCTGATGCAGCTTGGTAGTTTCAAGGTCAGTGTCCCCCTTTGACCACCTGTTTTCTTTTTGCATCTGTCATGGAAAAAATTACTTTAGCAAGAGTTTGGATGAGAAGAAATAAGAAATGTATTAAAACCTTGCAAGGTGAGAACAGAAATACAGAGTCAAAGGAGTCGGTCAAGTCTGCTCTGACCAACGGTGGATCTGGCTTCCTTTTATAGGTTCTGGTCAGAGAAGAGAGACTTGATTGGACAATAGATGTGAATCAGGGAGATGGTCTGGGCCATTTCCCTGATTAGACAATAGGTGTTCTCCTTGAGCAATCTCATGAGGAGATCATCCAGACACATGACCTCATCATCAGACACAATCTAAAGCACAAAAGGGGTGAAGAGGACATTATAAAATTTTCCATTACATTCCTTTCTTTGGATTATAATAAACATTGTTTATATTAATCACACAAAAGATAATAAAAATTTTGATAATACATGAAAATGTTAATACACAATTGTATGTACCTCACAAAAAGAGTCAGACATAGAGAACCAATACAGGTTGAAGATCACTCATTGTAAGAAGTCAGCACAGAGTGAGGAAATGGTTTGTTTTACATTTTCAGAAATGCAAGTGTCTTTGTTTCATGAAAATTGGAACATATCTCTGGTAGGAGCAATAACAGCAGCAACCACAACCCTCATTGAAGGAAGATGATGCTAATGAAGCTTGTGCCGGCCTTGCACATGAGCTCCTGCTGACAATTCTTCTTCTGACAGGGGTCAAAAGAATATTTTCCGGATATCTTCTTTCTTCGGTGTCAGAGGTTTCTAGCACTTGAACACACCGCTGAAGTGAAGTTTTTACTACCCTCTCTCTTGTTGGAGCCAGGTTGGTTGATGTTTGGTTGGAGGTCCTCTACTGGATCAGGAACTTCTCTGCACTGGCTTGAAGGTATCCAGCTGGCTCCTTCAGTAGCCTGAGTCATGAAAAGCTCATGGAAGGTTCCTTGGCAAGTCACCAGTGTTTTCTATGGTTCTTCTTCACCATTGTCTCAGTGGGGTTCAGTCAATGCCAAGGGGTCTGCAGGGATTGAGTGCGCAGCTTTCACAGCCTATAAGACTTCAAGAACAGTGGAGAGGTTGTACAGTAGGATACCATCACAAACAGTTGTCAGGGGGAGTGGTCTGTTCCCTTAAAAGGTTTCTTGTGGCACACACCATGCATGATTTGCAGTTTCTTCTGCATAACTATAAATGTGTGTCCATTTAGTAAAATAAGAAAAGAAATGGTTAACCATTAATTCAACATCAGGGCATCATCACACCATCTGAGACGGCTCTGCCTGCAATCTGCCAGACATTTCTCACCTGTGGAAACAAAGGACTGTTAAGGACACAAATGAGCAGGAAGCTAGTTTATGGGCGTGTTGCTGTATCTTTTGCAGCAGAATCTACTCTTCATTTCCCAGTGATTCCAAAAAAAGCAAAAAGTAATGCACAGCTCCAAATGCACAAAATGGAACTGTGGACTGTCCTGTGGAAACTTTAGCCATTTGCACAGAGAAGTATAGAGCATGGAGGACCAGAGGTCAAAAAAGCCATGTGAAGTCCAAAATCATTCCCTTTTCTCTCCCTTTTTTTTTAAGTGGCAGTATCACAAGAGGCAGAAACATCATCAAAGGAACAAGATCAGGGTTTTGAAGAGTGAATCTGGAATGTCAGTCCTGGAAGTGCAAATCTGATCCAAAGTGGCACCATAACAGTGAGGGTCCCCATGTTCAGGTGTGGGGACAAGCATAGCAACATTCAAAACTATACAGCGCTTAAAAGTGATTGTTGGTGATGTCCAAGAGGACAGATATGTATCTGAGCCAATGCATTGCCAAATGATGATGATTTCAGCTCCAAAAAGGTGAATGAAGCTAATTAAAGAACAAGAAGGGTGAGCAGGCTGTAAACACCAATGTCACAAGAGGCAAAAACAAGTTCCAGGGGTACAAGAAACCAAGTCAAAAGCATACAGGCCCTCACCATGAATGAGGATTCCTAGGGGGGGCTTCAAAGATTGAGCCATTAAGATAAAATTTCTGCAACAAAAGGTCATCCCAAGAAAATGCATAAGTTGCTTCTTAGTGACAAGCTGGGAATGTTCTGATTCTGAACAGCAGAAAACACATCTTGAGGACCCAGAGCATCCCTACCCCGTAATAGCGTGACCTACAGATGAATAAGACATTTTTCTACACAAATTTCAGTTCTAACAAAAACACTTTGGGCCCAAAATCATGCCAATGTTTTATCTTTTTACAGAGAAACTGTTTCCTTCTTTGAGGGGTGGGGAGTTTCGCTTTGTTGTATCTTGTAAAAGAGACAATTTATCTAATTTTATGGCCTGCAGGGTTTGGATAAAATGCTAGTCAGTGGGCTGGTCAGGGCCTCTGATCTCTTCCTACAGGGAACAGAGGAGTGTGCACACAAGAAGTTTCATGTGTAACAATAATGCCGGCAGCTCTAAGGGAATGTCCTCTATTGCTTCAGGTTTTGATAGTGTTTTCCAAAGTGCCTGGCCTGCAGATTTTGGAAAGATCATAAATGGGTCACAGTATTTTTTAACCCTACATCATACTTGTTGTTAGCCTTGGTGTCAAGTTAGATTTCAGCTAAGGCTGGGTTTATGGAGCAGTCAGTTTTAGACAGGAACACTTCAGTAGAAGTTTCAAAGTCTGAGGTTAGTCCTACAGTTTTATAATATTCAAAGCATTATCAGGTCAAAGGTCAGAGGAGTCCAGTCAGTCACAGTCACACATAATTTAACAAAAACCACCTATCCTCTTCCAAGGCCAGTTGCATGATTTTGTAAGGGGCACATGGGTGCGAGTCTGGGACATCAAACAAAGACAGCTGCGCAGCACACAGAAAGAGACAGACAAAAAGGGCAGCAGCTTTTGTCAAGAAGTAGAGAGTTTTCAAAAGTCATTTGAAATCATGTCTCCTATAAATCTGCATCAGGACCATCTGAAGCACAAACAGTGCAGTGTAAGCTCTCAGCCTGCATACAATCAGAGGAAGGGGAAACTCTGTCTCCAGCTCCCTGCAGGAGCCATGATGAAGAAGCAGGAATCTTCCATTGATATGCATACAGGTGAGAACTGGGGCTGCAATACACAGCTCTCTGATTACCAATTAACACAACAAATGTTGTCTCAGGAGATCAATGAGACTTAAATTTAACTATAAACATGTGAAACTAGAGACATATATAGGGTTAGATAGGAAATAGTAATTTTCTCTTCCCCAGATTTTTTCCTGAAGCAGAAAAGGAGCAGACATGATTTCCACTCGGCTTGTGCTTGCTGCAGAAGTTCCAACTTTATAACACTGGTAGCTCCGGAAAGCACCAAAAGGTTGACTTTTGTGCCCATTATTGTTGATTGAAAAATGGGAATAATCTCACATGCTACAAAAGTAAAATCAGCATAAGTGCCCATCCACTCCTCCATTCTCTGCCTCTGCTGCAGTCAAGGTGTCTGCTGCCTTATCCTGACACAGTGATGGCAGCCATGAGCAGTTCTTTCTCAGTTTTCTCTCTCTTTGCTGTCTTCTTACTGGACTTGAGTCTGGCATGGTGTATGCCAGACATGGTTGCTCTGCCCAGTTCACACAGTTTTATTTCAGTTCAGTTGCTGAGACAGGATGATGTCATCACACACTCAGGTGTTCCTATGGTCTCCCAAGAACCTGCTGCATTTCCATCAATGTTTGCAGGGTTGGTGAGACTATGGTGCAGAGCATAGGCTTTTTCTGTTGAAGGTAGCCAATATTTAAATTATATTTAGCTCTCCAACTCTTACTTTAGTAAGAAGAGTTTGAAACGGGAGGGAGCGGCTGAGCATTAGCACTAGCCGGCAGCTCTGTATGGGAGCTGAGAGCAGAGGGGCAAATAAAATAAAGTATGCCTTTATTTCTTACCATCTTCAACGTAGAGCCTTTAAAACCACAAAATAAAATCTGAATATTTTTCTAGAAAACTCTGGTGTTGACCTTTAAGTTTAAGTTATGATACTTCCCAAATATTCAATTCCTACATATTTATACGTTGTAACATGGAACCCCCCCCTCCCCCCCCAAAAAAAAAAAAAGTTTAAAGCAATTTAAGTTATAATTTAAATAACACAACTTGTATTGAGAACCACTGCAATAAATCATCACGGAGGTCAACGACTGCAAGTTAGAGAGAAAACTCTGAACATTTCTCAGAGCTCACACCCGTGCTCTCTTCTGAGCTATCGCAGCGGGGCTGACTCACCCCTCCAGTCCGCTCCACGCGGAGCCTTCGGCGGCTACGACACGCCGACAAGAACGCCGGGATACCGCTCGCCATTCCGAAGCGACTTCAGGATGTTCCACTGTAGGAACACAGTGGTTGCTCTGGAGGAGTAAAAGAGTTGGAGAAACATCATCTGTACCACCATCATCTCTGCCTGATAGCCACCATTGTTTCCGCTTGCTAGCCATCATTGTTTCCGCCTGCTAGCCACCATTGTTTCCGCTTGCTAGCCATCATTGTTTCCGCCTGCTACCCATCATCGTCTCAGCCTGATAGCTACCATAATTTCTGCCTGCTAGCCACCATTGTCTCTGCCTGCGAGCCATCATCTCCGCCTGCTAGCTACCACCTCTGCCTGACTACCATTTCCGCCTGCGAGCTTCCACTTCTGCCTGCTTGATACCATTTTTGCCTGCAAGCCACTACTGTCTCTCCATGCAAGCTACCATTCTTCTCTGCCTGCGAACCACCATCTCTGCATGCCAGCTAGCTATTGTCTCTGCATGCTAGTTATCTCTGCCTGCTAGACACCATCTCAGCTTACATTGTCAATACTTTCCTGAATTCCAAGAAAAGTGAAGAGAGGACATGACTTTTGGTCAGATAAGTACAATGAGACTACTTCTGATATTGTTCTTAGGTGTTTACATCTTTGAAAATGTGCCAAAGTCTTCTGAGGACTTGTATAACAACTTAGCTCACTCCTT